TTCTGCCTTTAGGTAATTCTCAAATTTACCATCAAAGTAGTTGATCACAGGTCAATTACTGTTATTGACCACATCTCCAAATCCTGGAGTATCAACTAATATCAACTCAATACCTCTTTCTTTCTTTGTTTCTTTGTTTCTTTCTTTTTTTTTTTATTCTTTCTTTCTTTCTTTCTTTCTTTCTTTCTTTCTTTCTTTCTTTCTTTTGTGTGTGTGGCCAGTTCAGCCCACCAGGGGGCAGGGCTGGCTGGCATGTGGTGCTGGGGGATTGAACACTTTCCCTGTGCTTTGCTTAGCTTAGCTTGTTCTAAGTAGGTGCTTTAGACCACTGAGCCATCTCACCAGCCCTGAACACCACCTTCTTTGACTAAAACTTTGGATTGTTCCACCTGTACCATCTTTTTTATGCTATGGGAAGGACCTAGATACTCTGGACAATACAAATCTGCAGGGAATGATGAATTGATTAATATTGACTTTCCCAATCCAGATTCACCTACTACCGTAAGTGTGAATTCAAACCCTCTCTTCACTGATTTTCTGAATACTTGATTAGTGAGATTGGCAAATACAATGTAGCCTTCAAGGTTCTTCGGTTGCGCCATGTTGCTGCCATGGATGCTTATCTCCTCCTGTTTGTGTTTTTTCACATTTTATTCAATAATTTAGGGTCATCATTATTAATTTAAGTGGATACTTCTTTCATTCATTACTATTACATATTTGACATGAAATATTTCAATTTCTTGATATATCTTAGATTATTAAAATAGAAAATAATAAGGGGCTGGGGAGATCGTTCAGTGGAATAAGCACTTCCCTGGCAAGCACTAGAGCCTGAGTTTAATCCCCGGTTCTGCAAAAAAAAAAAAAAAAAAAGGAAAGAAAGAAGAAAAGAAAAGAATACACAAATACATGTAGCCTTCTATTTTGGAACTCTCATTGCGCCTGACAGATGGAGGCATCTCATGTTTCTGATCTCATTTGATTCCATAAATTTGTCCATTTTCTCCATGATTTAAGGCATAAACTAGTGACCATTCAGAACATCACCAGTCAGTCTCCATGTACTGTGCAAGTTCCATCCATAGTTTGCTTGTGGAATTCTCGTATTACTTTGCCATAAATGTTCTTCATAGACATCAGATACAAGGCACTTCTTGAAGTCCATCTACTTTGTTTTCATGCTTGCATCTTATTTGCTTTTGTAATTACTACGGAAAGAATGAGCCCACAAGGTGAACAGAGAATGGTAACCACTCCACATATGAGTAACAATAAATCACATACCATCAAGCACATGGTAAGTATTATTTATGTGCATACTTGCACAGAAATGAAGGAACTTGCATGAGGAATGTTAGTAACTGAGTATAATGGCATATTTATTTTTTTTTTTGGCGGAACCAGAGATTGAACTCAGGTCCTTGCGCTTGCCAGGGAAGTGCTTATTCCACTGAGCCATCTCCCCGGCCCCTTATAATGGCATATTTAGACAGGATGGAGGACCCTATAGCAAATGCTCCGGATACATCGAGTTTAATTTAACTTGAGTTCAGAGACATAATATATGGTCTAGCAAAAAATAAGTTGTACCTGAACTTTGAAAGACATTGGATTATCAAAAGCATTTTATTCATACTTAAGTTATGATATTAAAAATGTTATTTTATTTTGTATAGGATAAAATAAAGCTACAAGCATAAATAAGATCATTCAATTCTAGAATTCATAGCATCCTAATTACCAATATGAGAAATGCATGCTCCCCAACCATTCACTTGGGAAACACACTATGAGTAATAGTTGGCAAAAGTCACATAAATGTTATCTATTTAAGAAAATCTTTACAAAAATCTCTGAGTTTATATTTCATAAGCTGCAAGAATGTCATTTATTGGAAATAAACTAAATTTTCTTTTTCATTTATTTTTTAAAATTTTATTTTACTTTTTTTTTTTTTTTTTTTGGTGGAACTGGGGATTGAAGTCAGATCCTTGCATTTGCCATTCAAGTGCTCATCCCACTGAGCCATCTCCCCTGCCCCTTATTTTACATTATTTTGACAGTAAAAACATAAAGAGAAACAAATAGAAGAACCAAAGACAGAAATAGTGTGACATACAACAATAGATATGTTATCGCCATTCTTCACTTCATTAGAGCATATGGGGTGAGGACAAGCAATTTGAATGCCACCAGAGTAAGAAAATCTTCAGATATCAGTCTGCATTTGGAAGACACAAGATGACGAACTCTGGAAAGATCCATGCAAATGTCATGCAAGTGGGAAAACCTTTACAAATACTTCTAAGCCTAGAGATCATAATCAGACGCAAACGTCAGTGGAGCAAAGAGAATGCTGTGTGGGTAAAAGTGTCCTTCATCAGCCTTTTAAGATTCACATGCACCTGAAAACATGTACAGGTGAGAAACCTTATAAATGTCATCGAAAACACACACAGGAGAAAAACCACACAAGTGTGGTGAGTGTGGGAAGAGCTTCCCTATACTATTCTACCTACGTTGGCATGAAATGACACACACAGAAGAGAAACCATATAAATGTGATCAGTGTAGAAAAGCCTTCCATCATTCTTATAGTCTTAAGATTTATAGAAGAACACACACAGGAGAGAAACCATATGTGTGCAATCTCTGTGGGAAGGGATTCCCTGTGTCATTTAACCTTAGTATTCATAAGAGAACACACACAGGAGAGAAACTACATAAATGTATTCTGTGTGGAAAATCCTTCACTTATTCATCAAATCTTAAAATTCATAAGAGAACACACACAGGGGAGAAACCATATGAATGCCAGATTTGTGGAAAAGCCTTCATTCAACCATCAGACCTTAAGAGACATGAGAGGGCACAGATAAGATGGAATCCATAGGAATGAGAGCCGTGAGGTAGAGCCCTCACCGATTCATCTTACCTTAATATACATCAAGACACAGCACAGAAACCATATTTGTGTCACATTTGGCGCACTATTCTCAAATTAGTATTTAAGTTGGAAGGAACAGTGGGGAAAATCATAGATAGCACCAGTGTGAGAAATTCTTCACTATCTTCTCACATTCGTAAGCATGAAAACCACTAACCAGTGAGGAATAGATGAATGTCATCCGCTGTACAAGTTTTACTCAGTAGTTTCTATCTGCAAACTTGAGAGAAGA